TTCAATAATCGTCAAAACTGCGATAATGGCCTTCCACGATGGGGATCCAGACATGCTTGCGCGTGTTTAGCAAGCGCTATTCCACATAAGGGCCACCGCCCTTCACTGCAAAGATGACAACGACTTATCTTTAGCGCACTAAGGACGGGAGTGACCCAGAAACGTGCGGTTCTGTAGCAGATGCGGAATCTGCACGCACACTTTTTGGACGATTTTCGGCCAATTTTGGGGGCCATCCAGAGGGGGTGGGACTAATTATTTTTTCTTGAAAATTGGTAGTTAAGGGTTTTGCAACCCAATATTTCCGATTCTGATGCCTTTTGGTAAATTTAAGGTGTTCTTTATAACGAATTTTGTCTCAAATAGAGGACAATTAATTCCGGAAAGAGGGAAGTATAATCAATCAAGTTTCGATCAATCCGACTCAGTAAAGAAGTACTGAATGTAGTTAGTGCACACGGTTAGTCGTCAGATCCCTGCCTAGCCTGACAACAGCAGTGTCAGCATTTGAATGGGAAGGAAAATAACACAACCCTCCTTAGCAGGCACTGTTGTTATATCATTTTCCATGCTGCAAAGGATGGAAGTGAGAAGCATGTAGAGTAGTGCATGTGGCCAACAGCTGAGACACATAACTGAATACAGGCGTTGGATTGGTGAGGTGCCCAAGATCGTGGCCGATGCACCAATAGCAGTGCAGTGTTGATGATGGATCTGGGGCCGATGGAACAGGTGGCTGTGCAAGAGGAAGTGAAGGGCCAGCGATCTGTGTGGTTGGCCAGGGAGGATCTGGTAGTGAAGCACGACCTGCAAAGAGAGATCCCTCAGAACAGGCAGGGTTTGCTGACGACACCACCCAGAGCTCGGCCTGCCGGTGAGTTGCTGTATCACAATCTTCTGTTGGTTTCTTGCCTTTCTGCTGCCATGACTTGCACAGATGCCTTCATCCATTGTTTGTTCCAGTCCAGATGCCTCCATCACAATTTGTGAATGATCGTGGCCTGCATTTGTGCAACCTTGTGTGGATCGGTGGCTTGTATGCTGTATGATCAGCCTGTCGTGATCCACTCCCTTCCAATGACAAACTACCTCAACCGGATATAGGTACATACCTTTGCTTGTTCCCATTACTGCCATCTAGGTTGTGCTTGCCCTTGCCATAGGACTCCGGACAGGGTTCAACATGCCGCATGCATGCAGTGATGGATGATGTCTGGGCTGTCCTCAATGTATCAAGCACCCCAGCCCTCAGAAGTCCTGTTGGGTGGTGCATTCGTGCTTTCTGAGGCTTGGTAAAACATGCATTTGCAATTGAAGCAATCAACTCATTTGCTCACCCGAGCCCACACTGACCACCACTAGGGACCAAACTTTGCCTGGCAATGGCATATGTGGACAGGCCCCACGTGCCTTCCGTTTAGTACGTGCGTCTATGAAGTTGTTGGGCCAGTTAATATTGCAACATAGACAGAATGGGAAATTGACTGAAGGTTTTTAGGGAAGACAGGACAATTGGATTTATGTTTGACAGCACCAATGTTTTTGGCACTGCTGCACTGTGCCAGCAAGGTAGTCTGGACCAGGAGTCAGTCAGGTAGTCAGTGCCATCCACCGCATATAGCTGCACTTTTTTTGGGATCTTTAGCTATACACATTATCATTCAAGATTTTGTTTATGTGCTATACGTTGTTTAGTTGCTCATTTCGCTGCATTCGCCTGGAATTGAATCTGTATGACTGTCTACAGTGTCAGGGCCCAACAGTCGGCAAGACAATGCCCTTCGGGTGCTGGACACCTCCCTGGACAACCCACTGACCCCCCAACATCGGGGGTCTGGAAGGAATGGCGTGTGCAGCCCCAAACCAAACTCCTCCACCCACCTGGCCCTTCCAACCAAGGGGCCCACTCAAGGGCAGTCCTCTCAGGTGGAGCTTCCTGCTGTTACACTCAACATTAGAGTGACGTCGTTTGTGGTACTGAGGCAATCGCCAAATCCCATGGAAAAGTTCGAAACTTCAGGCAACAGCAGCAAATGTGTAAGGCACCTGAGGCAGCGCATGAAATAGTGCCATGATATAATTCACAGGGTAGCCAGGATGAGATCGCTTGTTTAGCAGTCTGGACACCTATAACTTGCAGTCAACACTTGCAGCACGCTTTATGCAAGTCGCCCGCGCAAGGTGAAGTGAAGGGATGGGAAAGAAAGCAAATGATCCAGGGAGAAGGGAAAAAGGGCCAAATTTGTCTTGGGACGTCGTTGGAATTATGTGAGAGTATGCCGACATGGAATTGCACAGAATTAAAACAAAAGAGTTACATTGATCGATCCACTGGTGCAACAGCTGGGCTTTATAACTTATGAACTGCAAAAGCATGTTGAATATAATGCTGTGCAGGGGCCTGAAAATGGAGAAAATGCTGGGGACAGCAGATGCCAAAACTTTGGTCGGAACGCAGCAGATGGAAAGGCGTGTGGGGAAGGGAGCATCCAGAAATCAGGGCTTGGTGCAAGTGCAACTCCACGGTGAGTCAGGGCACCTAGGAATCTCAAAGAAATCACTGAGTGCCATCACATATGATTAAGCTCCACACACAACCCTGAATCGTGCACCACATCGAAATCGCTGGGCGTTTTACTGTTGCTTGGGGGTTCTGGCAGTACAATGCCAGGGTTTTGCAATCCCACACCACGGCTCATAGTCTGCTGCCAGCAATGGAGGCACAGGGGTGTAGGCTGTGGCGTGGGGCATTGAAACTGTGCCATTTGCTCCGTTCAAGACTGAGGCAATGGTTCTCATTGACGATCGTTCCTAAAACACTGTCCACGATGTGGTTGTATGACCCAGTATGTTGCGCTAATAAAGTGCAAGTTGCGGCCTCAGCAATTGGAAGGCCTTGACTAAGTTTGTCAGACTATGCTTAAGTCGACAATCGCCTGTGGACCAACACTCCAAACGGGCTCTCAAAATATTGATTGGAGGGCGGGTGCACTGTTTGCAAATTGTGGAAAAGGAATCTTTACCTCAGCAAATTGGACATGACTGAATGTGTCCAAATCGGCAGTGCAAAATAGAGCACACTTGTCACAGCACAGGTCACTACTGAATTCTGATACCAGAAATCAACAGGTTCTTAGCAGTCTACAAGGGCCCTGATATGTTGGCTTCACCTCAGTAAGTGTGTTTCAGGAAGCTCACGAGCCCAGGGACGGCTGCACCCATAGATCGGATCGCCAGGGCCAAAGAGATGGAAAGACAGCGGGCAAAGACCTTGGAGCATTTGAGGGCGGAGTTAAAGTGTCTGAAAGAGCAACTGAGGGAGGTGCAGAAGAAGGCCAAGGACAAGGAGCTGCAGATCAAAGGCATTCCCGGCACCGCTTCAGGCAGCCAGATGCCTGCAAAAAGGTAGGCGATCCCACAGGCAGTCGTGGGACCGTTGTGAGCTGCCCTTTCAAGTAATTCCCAACAGTGGCAACACAATATTTCTGAGACAGCAAATGGGTAAACAACGGGCGGAAATCTGCAATGATGTCATTTTTCACTCAGAAACCACTGGACAAAGCAGTGCCCTCTCAGTTATCAGGCGATGTCAGATGAAATGCGAACATCTGCAGAACATTAGAGAATTTGAGTGTTGTGTTCCAATTGTTGCACCCACCAAAATGTGATGCACACAACTGGGTCGGGCATGGAACTGCATGCGGATGTTTTCATCGCTACCCTGCTTGTTCTGTGCAGTTCTCAGGTGCTTCTGGACTATCCATTCTTGCATTTATGGGCACATGGCTGCTAAGCAATCGCTAGCCTCTGTGAATGCCTTGCTTGGCGATCATCGTCTTGCCGATATGAGATAGAAGAATTCCCTGTGCAGCTTTACTGATAGTGGATTGGATGCCACTGTTCCCACAGGAATAAGCCAAAACAGGACAAGATCGCCAAGGCCCTGCTGCGGAATGCACTGCAGGTGGATGAGAAAGAGGCACTGTTCGTGTCGCAGAAGATAGAGAAACTGAAGAACAGAGTTGGAATTGCAGCCAGGATGGCTGCCAGTGCTGCACTCAGAACAAAGAGGTGGGGTCAGCAGTTGCTGGGGCGAAATATTTGCTACGGGACGAAAGAGAACCTGTCATGCAATGGGCACCCCTCTCCAGGGCCACGCCATCGCTGGGAATTGTGCAATTCCTTTGGTTGGATCTGTTCAAAGCAGCAAACCACTGTACTTGCACCTGCAGGGCACCTCACAGGGGTGGTGGGTACTGCTCATCAGTGGGATCATGCTTTGGCTGTGGATCGCACAATTGCAAGGAGTCGATAACAGCACAATTACAATGAAGCCGATGATGAAGTCCTGATGTGTGGGTATTCATTGCAAGGGACAGTCGTTTTGTTTGCTGGGGCTGACTCATGATAGGCAGCTCCTCGCCCGTGCATGCCAGATACGGGCATGACATGTGGAAGAAGGCTGTTTGGGGTGCCTCACACTTGTTGCTTCTGTGGCATGAAGAGAAAAGGCCTTGCTCAAAAGGCGTGCAGAGCTTGCTCAAAGCAAAGAGGAGGAAAAGGCTGAAAAGGCTGGAAGAGAGGCGGCATGGGCCCGCAGGAAACAGGAGGTGAAACAGTACCCAGTAGACGATCTCCTGCTGCTGGAAGAGGAGCGCTTCAAGGGACACGACCAGGGTAAGGGGCCCAGTTGCGTGTCACGCTTCATTGTGAAGTGGTGTCCTGCCAACCTGTGGACATAATCTATCAGCACTTCATGTTCATTTCAGCGTGGTGACAAGGAGTGCCAGTCGTTCACCGTGAACTGTTGCGGAAAAATTGAAATCAGTTCATATCCATCTGTGCATCGTGCTGTCTGATCGAGGAGCTGCAAGTGCAGCCAAGTTTCATTTGCTTACAATGGCCTTTGTCTTGACTTCTGAACGCTGCTCACAGGTCGATCGACTCCCACCCAGGATGTGCACCGTCCCTCCAGTGAACTGGGTGTCAATGGCGAGGTGATGTCTCGACTGCTATACGTCTCAGACTTCTTGTCTGAGTTTGGAACCAAGCTGAAGTTGAGGCCGATGCACTTCACACAGCTTCAAGATGCCCTGAATGGTGGGTACTGAAGAAGATAACGGGAACAGTGCAAAATGGCTGCAAGCAAAATGGCTGGGGCAGTGACTGAACGCGATGACAGTCGCCAGCTGCAGTTGCTCGTTGCTGCTTGTTTTCTTCTTTTCAACAAACTATGGGGACACTGCCCGCAGATTGCATTGCGTTTATTCTCATTCGCTGCATTTGGGCCAACTGATAACAAAACGCCGCATTGCAGGTGCTGACAAGCTGGGTGCAGCCAACAACACCACGAGTGGAGGGGCTAGTCTGGCGATGGTGTACGAGAAGCTTTTGCAGCGCATCCTGGACAACCTTGAGCAGGAAGGCCTTGGGGACAGGCAGGAGCGCCGGATGTGCTGCATCAATGGTCCTGGCACCTGGCCCGAAGTTCTCAGAAGGTTTACTCTCAGATGTGCTGGTGAGTTGATTCTGTTGTGCTGTCATTCAGATGACGGGGTTGCTGAGCAGTGAATAGAATGTTGTCTGTCTACAATGCTACTGAATATACCATATGGCCACACTGTGGAGTCTCATCGTGCAAAGGGGTGGGAATTGTCCCTCCGAACTCAGAGGATGGTGAGCAAAGGTGTGTTCAAGCCTGTCTTTCTGCAAAGCCTTTCAGCAGCTGCTCTGGGACAATATACGGCACATATCATGATGAGTAGCCCCCTGGCTGACAGACGGAGTAGTGCCGACCATCTATTGTTTGCTGTGGTTAAGGCGAATTTACCCAACAGGTACAAGAAGTGCTCAAGTAGGGTGGCCATTGAGAAGAGAGAGTGTGAAGACTGAATCACTTTTGTCATGGTCATCAGCACAAATTTCTCCAGCCAGTCAGTAGGTCTCCAAGCAGGTCCCCACTGTGGAATCCCAACCACTGACAATGGGGTCCGTGTTGTTGTAAGCTGTGTGTGTGTGCCCCAACAGATGGTCCCGAAAGTGCTGTTTCCGAGAGCACAGCTGCGGCTGCCGCCTGCCTGGCCTCCATGAGTTTGGATGAGCTGAAGCCTGTGCAACACCTCGAGCTACTGGAATTTCTTTGTGACGAGGCCCTGAACACAAGCGAGATAAGAAACAGCATGCAGGGTGAGTGCTGTGCTGCTGGCGCGGTCAGTTGTAGGCATCCCGCTCTGTGTCGTAGGTATCTGAAATCCTTTGCTTGGAATTGCCTTCCGCAAGATAAAGCAGTGCCCTTGCACCTTGTAGGCAATGGCAGATATGAATACATTTCAGAATGTCTTTCTGTCCTGCATCCATTCATTTTGTCCACTTCCCACCTGTGGTCGGACATTGCTACAGATTGATGTCCCAAGCCTGGTCTCCTGGGTAGCGATCTGTGAACTTCCTTGCAACAAAACTGAAGCATGACAAGATATAAATGATGCATTTGTTGGCAAGTTTGTGCTCCACAACCAGCCCCCACACCATGCTTGTCATCTGCGTCAGTCAGTGCTGCCCTCTTGTGGCAGTGACAGACGTTCACAGTATGTTCATTGAATGATATTGGCAATGGTTTCTGAATAGGAAGCCCCAAGGAACACTGTCCAGTCCCTGACAGTTGCTAACTGTTTGCTTGTTGGAGGAAATGTAGCTGTGTATCGTCTGGGGAACATACCGGGAGATCAGCAGAGCCGGTGCAGAGTCTTTCCTTGTCATGTTGGCTTTTCATCCCCATTCCAGTTGGCATCATCCTGCACAGTTCAGTTAGACATGCACTGGACTGCTGCCAACGACATTTGTAGGTTTGAGCAGTGCCACGTTGCCGCCGCAACTTTTCAACCCAACAGTGTGTGAAACAGCAGAAAATTGGCTATTTGGGATGGTTGTTCAGAACGAAAACTTAGAATGCTCACGCTCCCTTGATTTCACAAACAGCGATGGTAGAAAATGACGCCTCAAACGTTAAGACGTGTGGCACAACAAGCACATTGGCCAGTATGAGCATGCAATGTTGTGCAACAATATGAATGCGAAGTAGCAGGCTTACAGCATAAGGGGCATGGCCATCGGTCAGCATCAAATCCTAACAGTGACAGTGAGCTGCGGTACAGAGCGACTCGACAAAATCGCTGACATTTCACGAGAGATGCGCACCACAGCTGGTGAGGATAAGCGCAAGTTGCGGGAGTTGATGGATGCGCAGAGGCAGGAAAAGAAACGAAAAAGGGATCATGAGGCAGCTGAAGAAGCAGCTAAAGAGGAGGTACTTCATGCTGGCACTGTCTGCTTGTGTCCATGCAGACAAGTGGACTTGTGTAACTCTGTACTAAGGTGGCCGCATGCCTCCTAACCAGCTGCCTATCTACAGGCAGCATGTATGGGCCATGGGCAAGGTTGAATATCAGTTGCTGCTGGTTGGAGACTTATCTTGTGACAGACTGTGGGTCTTGGCCAAAACTTTTGGATTGCCTTGTGCGTTATATTTTTTTTATTTTCTTGCTCTTGAAATGCCAGCGAATGCTGAGCACCCTGCGCAGGACTGTAGCATCAATAGCCATATTAGTCATATAGCTGATAAACTGAACATTTGTTGTCAGTGTATTAATCTTGCACACAGTGTTCCTGCACCATAGACAACCTGTGCAAGCACAGCTCATTTGTGTTGCTCAGAAGATTTTTCCTTCTCAAGTTCGAAGACTGCCGTTGTTGCATCAGCAACCGCTTCCACAGTTTGTCAGAATTGGTGAGCAGTCCCTGATTTTCGCCACAAATTTGTCAGCAGGTCAGTGACCCAGAAAACAAAAGGGCGAAGGCTTGTGCTGAGGACAGTGACAGCCGGGAGCCTTGCTTTGAACTCCCTGAGGACATCAGGGAATACAATGGAGATCCCAATGATCGAAAAGCCAGGACGGCATTTCGACAGCAGTTGCAGGTGCACAACTGGTGGAGTTGCGTGGTTTGCTGGTAGTCAAGTTTTGCTGGAGCAATGGTGGCAGAGAGTGTGTTGTGCCCCCTTAATGGTGGGATTGAGAATATCCGAGGGAAAAGGTGCTGGAGAATATTCTCCATATCCTGGAACAGAATTATCATAATCTTTGTGCTTGGTTGCTTTGTTGCTGCAGCATCTTTTGAGCATCATAGAATAGGTCAGGCAGTGGGGGATTCGGCAGGCAAGTGGATGCTTTGCTTGTACATTCTTGTTGCGATGCTGAGCTTTTTGTGCATTGAATTTTCAAGTTAGTTTTGAAAGTTCTGGCAGTGGCTTGTTGTATTTTGCATCCCTACATGCGCCCATGCCCTTCATACTGCAATTCTCTCAACAGATCTCGCTGTGCAACAGAGCTGAACAAACAATATTACAATTTCATGGTCGCCATAAGCTGTGGAGTGTGGTGTCCACCGGAAACTGAACAGCCAGTGGCACAAGGTTTGCTGCAGAGTCTTGCACATTTGACCACCAGCAACCCATATGATCTGTTGCTGATGCAAAAAGCCCATTGATAGTTCAGGGTCTTACATTATCAATTCAAGTTGATTCTACCTGTGTTTGCACTGGTAGGCAGAAAAGAATCGCCTTGCGATTGAGAGGCAGAGATGGGAGGCCAAAAGGGACGAGAGCAGAAAAGCGAAAGAAGAAGAACAAAAGAAGACAGCTCGTCAGCAGGCAAAGGCTGAGGCGGCATTGGTAAAAGAACGGGCAAAGGCTGAGGAGGCGTTGGCAAAAAAGCAAGTGGCGTATGAAAAACTCCTCGATAAGTACACCATTCGACGCACACCACTGGGCCTTGATCGCCACCATCGCAAGTACTGGTGGGACTTTGGTGGCTGCAAACCCGTGCTGTACGCGGAGGATTGCTCGTGTCAGTGGGCAAGCTACTCCACGGTTGAGGAAGTGAAGAAACTAATGGAGTCCCTGGACACTCGGGTATGGTGTGCAGAGCAAGTGACAGTGGTTAGTTTTTGCTGCTCAAGTTTGTGGCACCTCCTGATTGCTTTCACATTTGGGCGCCAATGTCAGTTTCTGCAAGTTTTAGCAGAGTGTTGCAGGCATTGATTGTTTGCTGCAAGGCCACATCTTCTGATTTGTGGGTTGATCTGGGCGATCTGCCAGGAAAAAGAACTTTTGAGGCACTGAACCCAAACAAAAGCGTGTTTATAGTCTATATCGAAGCATCTGTTTTTCAGTGTGGTTCGTGGGCAAGCCGATCCACAGGTTCTTCCCTGACACACCCTGCTGTTTTCTTCTGTGCATAGCAAAATGGCCACCATGCAGTACAGTCACTGGGACAAGTCTCATATGTGGTTTGTAGCTTATACAGTTTCCACCTGTCTTTTCTTGGAGCAGAATGGCTTTGCAAGGGTTCTGCAACGATGGCTGCTTGTTGCTGCATTCTGTGCAAATGGGCTACATCGCTCAAAATAGCAGAACGGCATGTCACAGCCAATTGAGCAGTTCCGCTTTGTAATCGGTGATAGCAAGGGCATACCTGCGCAGGGTGTCAGGGAGGTTGAGCTGCACAGGGCTTTGGAAAAGACACTACCAAGGATGGCGTGCGCGATGAGGAAGGCACTCTGCAATCAGAACAAGGTGTCCAGCAATGTGGAACAACTTCCAGGCAGACAACAGCCGGCGAGGGCAGCCAGGAAGACAGCAGCGGCAGTGCACAGCAGCAGCTCTGCTGCCACAGGTAGATGCTTGGGGTTTGGTTGAAAGTGGGAAACAATTGACACAATCTTGTAACGTAATTAAGGGTTTAAAAGGGTGTCCTTCACCATGTCATTGATACAAAATGCAGTGCCAGGTCCATATTGACAATTGTGGTCCCAACAAATTCATTCTCAGGTACATACATGTACGCTGGAAGCTTCGCTGCTTGCCAAGAGTGGATCCCTGCCAGTGGCTGCAATGTGTGACTGCTAAGCAGTCAGGTCTTCCTTATGCGAACACCAACTCACCAGGGCCTCTTTTCAGCAATCTGTATTCTGATCTCAATATACACACAAGCTGTGGCTGTGCATTGACTTGGAACTATTTAGCAAAGGCTTGATTTGCTACTGCACCTCACCCCACGTTGTGCCACGGTTGCGCATGCAGTGACAAAGAGCAGTGCTCAGGAACAAGTTGAAGCCGCTGCTGTGAGCGCCTCCATTCAGGCACTGATGGACATGGCCAATTTGGCGACTGCCTGCAAGGTGAGAAGCCCTGGCAGCAGCTGGAAGACATGGAGGCGGCAGTTGGAGGCGATTAGCAGCGCTGGGCCACACGAAACAGAGGTAATACAGGCTCTGCTTTTGTGCTGTTTGGTGCCCGGAGTGGAAGGATTTGGGAACGTGTTTTGCTGCAAGTGGAATGACCATCTGACATTCTGCTGGATGTGTTCCCACGTGCATGTGCAGTCACTGCTGTTACGAACAGCAAATGCTGACACAGAGGGCCTCAGGGCACTTGTGTCTGGGTCACAACTGCTTGCTTGGCCAACACTGTAGGTGCTCAGCACTGGACGTTCACACTCTCAATTAATCTGTGTATTGGACTGTTCTTGTCAATTAATTTGTTTGCATCCACTTGTGCTTATTGCAGGCCAAGATTGAGCTGCGAAGCTGTGCACTTGAACTTGAAACTGCCCTAATTGCTGGCACTGGAGAGGAAACGTGCTACGAACCTGTGGAAAACGAAGGGAAGAAGGAAGACATGATTGACGACCAGAAAGACTGCGATCACCACTGGTTTTCGGCGATTGGCAGCATTTTGGCAGCTGGAGGTGGAGTAGGAGACATCAGAGGCAATGGCAGCGATCCAAAAGTGAGTCGGGTGCTGAAATTGTGCGTGTTGAGTCTTGTCAGTCATCAAAGTGATTGCCTTGATGTTGTTGGAGCAAACAGTCTGCTTTGGCCTCACAGCGTACTGTCTCAGCAGACCAAAAACAGCGTTGTTAACAACACTGTTGTTCCATGGACACCAACACGACAAGATCAAAGTACTGGACGTAACCTTGCATGCCTGCAGAAAGGCGCCAAATCTATCCCCTGCCAGCCAAGTGTCATCACCATCAGTAATGTTGTGGTTTCCACCATCATGCCAAGGTGATTGGGCTTCTCTGGTGGTGCACGACTGAAAATGACCGTGGTCTGATCGGACTATTGCGACACATGCCTTGATGCAATACTTGAACAGCGAATCCTGTGTGTCCAATGTGCAGAGCACGATCAGAATATCGTGTACTTCCCACAACTTTGAGCCAGTGGAGGTTGTCAGCATCACTGTGCCACTTGCTTGTGCTTGTTCAGATTTCTATCATAACAGCCTGTGCTGCAATGTTCCAGGGCGCCAGCCTTTGGTCCAGTGCATGGAGGCAAACCAGACTGGTGGAAGAGTATCTCGAACCTGACAGAAACAACGTCGTACCAGCGTGGTGCATGTGGCGCAGCGCCCGGGAGCGCAAATCCTGGCACCTGGACGTCTCTTCTGCCACCACTGTCTCCCATGTGGCTTATTGCATATTGGCCCTTTCGGAGGTGGCGGCCCCTGCCCTGCAGGAGCTCAAGCTGGGGAAGAACTCCTGACCTGTGCACTGCATTCAGTCAAGGATGTCCAGAGCGGGCGAAATGCAGAGTCCAAGAATGTGGTTGTGGATCAAACCTTCTTCATTGGGCTTGTAGGGCGGCTTGAGGCTGGACGGCGTTCATATGTCGTAGACTTGATCAGTGTGAAGGGAGCGATGTGGCGCAGTGGAACGGGGTAGTGGGTCAGGCGGATTTGTTGGCTGTTTGTGTAGGGCGTGGAGCGAACAGTTGCCCTGGCCATGCAGGGCCATTGCGAGCCTCTGGCTGAGTGTTGACGACCTGCGTAGCTGGCGTTTCAGCACTTCATCACAGCAGCGATCTGTCGAGTTCTCGCAACCGTGCATGGCAACATTTCGGCACTTTCCAGCAGCTAGATAATTCGGGAAGTGATATTTAGGATATCACTGTCGTATTTTTTCGGATGTCTTCGGTTCTCCTTGATTTGGGGGGGCATTGCAGCAGGCTTGAAAGCAACTGAACCACTGTATTTTCCCGGGAAATTCGCCAAGCATGGCCAGCAAGATTGAAGGACAGAAGTGACCCCATCGAGCCGAGGGGGGAAACGGGGAGGGCGGGGGTGGAGGGGCTGGAGGGGGGCTTATGACTGGCGTTCAGCCCTGGCTCAGCACTTGATACGTTTGTATTCCCACAATCCTGGATTTTCCTGCGTCCGCAGTGTGGACTCAAAGCTTTCGCTGCAGAGATACTCTGGATTGCAGGAGAGGCGGCGTCAGAGAAGCCGCTCCCAATGAGCACCGGAATTCGCAGATACACGTGCTCATCCCAATCCTTCTCAAAACAGGGCCCCTTGCATGGGGTTCCACATGGACGTTGGATGTCTTGTCAATACAAATCCAGACATGACGTTGTAACTATATCGTTTAGTGCCAAAGGCCCGATTTTTGCCTGGGTATTCACGCCATAAACACCTATCTCATTGATCGCATTTTACGATTTTTCGCGTAAACATAGTAGCTACGTTGTTATGCGTAAACAAGCGTAAACACAGGTGTAAATACCCGCCCGTGTACATAGAACCTGTGCTGCCTGGTCTATCAGTAAATTTAGATGTGAAAATAGCCCAGCTGTGTGTCTGCGTTTTGCGTTTTACACTTTATACCTAACAGAGTGAACGTAAGGGAAGACGCTATGTCGATTTTGTTATGCTTAGCATCAATTTGACATTAAGCTCAGACCCACCCACCCACCTTGTTCCCCCTAGTTTCTCTTTCTCTTCTGTCACAAATCTAACCCACCCCCCCCCCACCCCACCCCACCCCCTTGCGTCAATCTTTATGTCGAAGCCAGGATGACTCAGCAACATTACCTAACAGTGGAATACAATTTCTAGCCGGTTATGAGAAGAGAAAACGCCCAGATTCGTATAAATTTTGGTGGGCTGAAAAATGGGAATATAAATGTCATTATAGGCAAGGCGGGCAGGTCGATGGCTACAAATTAACATATTCTAAGGACTTCCTTGAAGACAGAACATTTCAGGGAGGCTTAGGAAAAAGTCACGAGTGTTTGGCTACTGATCAGCAGCGTTTTCAGTCATCTTTCCACCTTATGTCGATTTCGTTGCAATTACATAATCTCTTAGCGTCACACGTCTGGGCCCAATCCCTTAGCATCAAATTGACGCTAAGCATAACAAAATCGACTTAGTCTCTTCCCTAAAGACCAAGCCTGCTCGTGATAAACGTAATCAAACGGGTTTGGTAGTGTTTGCGCTGCCCATCAAAACCGCTTCGTATTTCATAATAAACATCAAAGTAGTGCCCAGTACATTGATGTTGGCCCCCGGAACAATGTCCAGGGCAGGCCAAGCTCGCATTCGACACAGGGGCAGTGGTTCTCAGTGGCCCGTCACGGTCTGATCTGAGTCACTCTTGCTGTGCTTTCAGTGAAAACAAAAACATCCCCGCCTGCTCCCTTGATCAAATTTTGTGTCTACAGTACGATTGTCGAAAACGTATTCACAAACAGTGTTCCCCAGAAAAAGAAAGAATTTGGAAGCCGACAGCCCATTTCCACACTACCTCAAACGGACAGCCCCCCCCCGGGGCTACTACATAGTCCAAGAAGCTTTCAGTAAATCCCAAACTGCGTTGTGTTTTCTCCCCCCAACGCGCTGCAAATCCCTCTTCCCCTCGCCCAACCCAGGAAAACAGCTATGAATACAATTGGACGAAACTGGCGGTGAATACCCGGTCGACCAATCTTCCAGTCTACCGATACGAGCAGTCCCTGTCAACATTACTTCCTATCTCCTTGAGGACGTTTTTCCTGCGGTTTCGTTGTGGGGTTCAGTTCTGGAGGTGGAGCAGCAACGGCACCAAGCACGACAATCAAATCCATATTTTTAAGGCGATTGTGTCCTTTGTGTCACTTGGTTCCAGAAGACGAAATCCACTTTTTCTTCCACTGCCAGGCCTCTGATAACATGCACAGAAGCCACTCTTGTCTTTTCGATTTTGCGTCGCAAAATCATTATTTGCTTCGATTCCTGCTCGCCAACTACCGAGGACACTTTTTTTGATGTATTGTCACTGACAGTATCTTCTCGGCATTAAGAATTATTGAATTCATAAACTTTGTTTATGTTTACTTTAGATTTCAATGAACTAATCATAGGCACTGCTTTGCGGCAAAATAGGAAGCTGACCGCTGCCTCGTTGCCTTGTTCTGTAAAGCAATGATGCTGATGATGACCGCGCAATTTGGATTTTGAAAACACGATCTGAACATGCAAGCTCAAATCAGGGCTGAAACACACATGCGTGTTATTTGTTTCTGTTACAAGAAATCGGGCAGCCAAAGATTTGGCACAAAGACGCACCGGCGCGAGCTCCCGACGGTTTGACGAACGGAGAAAAACTGCCGGCCGCCCCCGCACACGGGCGGCGTCGCGACGTCGCGCCGGGGGGCACGCGGAATCCCTCCCCTCCACGGACCTCCACCTGGTACTCCCTCGGGGGCACCAGACCGGGCCCCGACACTATCGGGCCGAGAGTTCCGCCGGTGCGGGCCCTTGGGTCCCTGTCCTTGGGCCGCCGTGCGGCGCGGCGGGCATGTCCGCGTGGAGGAAGGCAGCGGCTGCGGTGCGGTTCGCGGCGGCGGCTGGGAAGGGCGCCAGGGTGTACCCCCAGGTCGGGGGCGGCGCGGTGCACCCGCAGAGCGACGGGGACGACCTGGAGGTCGTGTACCAGGACTACGCGCGGGAACTGGAACAGAAGGTGGGGGGAAGCCGGGCGGGAGCCGGGCGCTGACCGCGGCTGACTGAAGTTCAGTGAGCCCCGCGAGGGCCAAAACGATGAAAGGATTTCGCCGTCCGGGCGTGTCCCTGGAGTGATGCGCGGGAGCGGTGCGGTCTCGCGCCGCGAGGAGGGCGGGCGAGCCGCCTGTGGGGCAGTAAGGCTTACTTGCAGTAAAGCAAGCCCATGCTGCCCACAATGTCCTCAAGCCGATAGTATTGGTGGCGGCGACGGTGGCCGTATTGGTTCTCGCAGGCCAGGGTGGGGTAGGGTAGGGGGGTGGGGGGGTGGGGGGGTGGGATGTACATGGGCGTCTTGGCACAGGGTCCACTGTGCGGAATCCGAAGTCTCCGTGCCAAGGCTGTGCAAGCATCCAGAATTGCAAAGACATGGATCTGCAAGGATCTGGATGTGTTTCGGGCGTGTGCGATGGGCTGCCTGCCGGCTTACCTGCTTTCGATGTGCCGCCGATGGGCCGATTGCGATCGGGGTGCCCGGCGCGGACCTGCTGCGCTGGCGGCGTCAAGTGGGGCCGCAATCGAAAAGGGCGAAATCGACATCGAAACAGCGGGGGGTCTGGGCATGGACCGGGCTCGTGGGCAGGAGACCTGCGGCAGATGCCCCACCAAAGTCGCAAACAGAATACGCGCCGCACTCCTGTCGGGGGGCGGGGAGGTAAAGAGTGGCCGCAGCAAAGGTTGCTCGCCGGAGGGGTCCCATTCAGAGGCCGGGTGGATTGCTCGACGGCGGCGAGAGTCGTTTTGGATTGCCCGCGTGACTTTTCTGGAGTCGACGGGCATAGACGTGGAGGAAATTCTCAACCGCGTGTGTGTGGGCAATGCGAAGGTTGCCCGATGACACCACAGGGAGAGTTCATGTTCCCATTTCCCTTTGCCCCCATCCATCACTTTCAATTTGGCTCAAGACATATCACAAGGCACGCATACGAGGCAAGAAACCGGTTCAAAGGTTTGCCACGCCCAGGACGATCGAATGCGCTGAATCTGGTAATTTGGGGCCGTCGCTTGTGAGCACGCGTCCGGACCCGTTAAACACACACCAGTGACGCTTCCGCAACCACATGCATTTAGAGGGAACGGCCAGTCACACGCTAAATCACCTGGCGAAGAGTCTTCGTTATATGACTTCGAGATCGGCGTGGAACGGCGTTCCACTCCATTTCCATGAAGCTCAGACAACAAATGTTTAAGCGCATGTGGTGGGGGAAACAGGAGACTGCGCGCGCAAAAATCGCAGAGGTGCCTGCTTCAGTGCAGGGAAAATCCGCAATAATCTGCCGCATCTTGTGCAAAATAGGGAATGAGAATATTCTCATTAATGGCCAACGTTCAATAGTCATGGCATGCGCCGGTGGGGGGCAACAACTGATGGGCACGCGCACGATGCACTAGTAGCAAGGGCGTGGCGATTTCAGACGTCAAGGTATCGGGGATTGCGGACGGCCACTGGCATTGATGTGGCTCTCCCGGAGGGGCCGAGGACATGGCCACCAGGGCTTCCGATTGGAGTATATGCGCAGTAAACAATGAAACCGAGTCCAACACAACTTACTCACAAAGTGGAAGAAAGCAAAATCAATGATACCAACAGCAACAGCACGACAACATCGTATTTTTCGATGCGGCAAAAGGGGAAGCCTCCCCAAGCGCCCTGGCTGTCGTCAGCTGCGAGATCCCTGCACTCACACAATTTCCTCTAGAATTGCTAATATGTGTAACACATTGCCAACACTAATCTGATTGATTCATTGAACGATCAGTCGACCGATTGGCGCTCCCCTCCTGAGGCGAATCTCAACGAGAGGCCGGCTGAAGACATCCCGCCCTTTTGCCCAGGCTCAGGAGAGGCAACGCAAGTACAGGGAGATGCAGCTGGCGAGGATGCGCGCCACGGAGTCGGACGACGTGCCCGAGGTGGCGGAGATCGTCTTCAGCAGGGAGGCCAAGGACGGCAAGTGCGTGGAGTACATGCAGGAGGATGGCTGGCTGGGGTCCGGGGAGCTGGAGAACGAGATCGAGAAGCTCAGGCTGGCATCCGCGAGCACCACGGCCTCGGCGGGGCCGCTGGCGCTGACGGCAAGGGACGGCAACAAGTCTAGCCTGACGCAGAAGCCCGGCAGGGCGGTCAAGTGGCCGTCGGAGGGCGAGGGCCCGGCGGCGGGGGAGGACGTCGCCGTGTCGCACAGGAACGCAAGGTCGAGGTGAGGAAGGTTGCCGTTGGCGGAAATATCGGGCACCGCGCAGGGCGCGCGGTGAGTCGATGGGGATCTCTGATGGACGCAGCGGTGATGGCCTGCGTTGTCGCGCACGTGTGTGTTAAAGCACACGCCGTGACGCGCACGAGAAACAGAGCAGTGTGCTGTGCGGGCTGGGGGTGTGGAAGTGTGGTAATGGCGGTTTATGACTTGGGGAGGATGTGTCGCCGGTGTTCATCTTGCAAGGGCGTTCATGGGTGATGCACCATGCGCAAAACAGTGCTCAAATTGCGCAAAGCGTCAGCTCAAGAGTGCAAATGTACCTGAAACTGTGCTCAGGCTCAGAACCGCCGTGCACCTGCGTTGCAAAATTGTGTGGATTGTGCAGTGACTCTCGGATTGTTGAGGCTTGACAAAGCATCAATCACTAGGAAAAAACGGACTGAATAACACTTTTTCGAACACACATAAAACACATTTCATCAAGGTTCTGCACGCTAAGAACACAAAAATAACACAAACCCGTAAACTTTGTACACGTTTGAACACGTGTTATTTTGCCCTTTTTTTCCTAGTGAATTGTACGACATGCTCAAGCCTTTGCTGCTGCCAGCGCTCGCCATATCGCCACGAGCATGGCCCGCATAGCAGCGCCACCAACTTCACCAATAAATGCCATCAGAGGCATCAACATCGACGAACGACGGGCAGCATGTTTCAAGCCCAAGAAATCGAAGAAGCAATTCATAGAAATTGTCTCGCTGCAGCCTCATTCGAACCGGCGGCTTCCCTGACGATCCGCCATCCGCGCCCGCTGGACTGGACGCGCCGGCGAGGCCCGGCGGAGGGCTGGAGGGCGCACACGCGGAGGGGCCGCTGCCGGATTCGGCGAACGACGACGAGTGGAACAGCGGCGTCTTCAACCGCCTGTTTGCGGCGGAGAGGGAAGGTGCGCGGATGGATGGCTGGGGGCCGCTGTTTGCGACTGTACACGTGTGTTGCCTGGCAGAAGATATACAGCTGGCTCAGTTAACTTCGTGGAATGTTACTTCTTTTAGCCGTTAATTTTTTATTGAATGTAATTCATTAAGTGTGTTGGGTTTCTGAAATCCGCGCAGTGCATGTACCTGTAGCATCCTCGCGCGTGTTCGCGAAGGTCTGGATTGCTCGGACACGCTAAAGTTAACTTTAGCAATGTTGCAAAATATTTGTTGGAAATTGGGGCCAACAAGTCAAATTGAGCATTGCTAATTGTTGATTATGAGAGATCTGGCGACTACAGGGAAATCGCGGGTAGCGCACAATTTGGCAATTTGAAGGAGTTCGACAACTTTAAAGCATGGTGTTCAGAACTCTTAATACATTCAAGAAGATGTTTCAAGGAATGGTTAGCACAGTGGGGTTTCCCTGTACAAAAAAACTGTACATTCTCCTTCTAAAACAAATATAAATGGAATTAGATTTTCCAGTTTGCACCACGGGCGCCCCAGATGCGTCATAATTCCAATGTTTTCGCATTTCTAATGCTGACCAGGTTGAGGCGTCACGCTGTCTGAGTTCCCGAATTGCAAACAATGGACAGTGATTGGATTAGGCGAGTGTAGCGATATATTTGCGGTGGCGGTGCGCACCGCCACCACCCTGCGATTTCATCACACCTTCGCGAGCTGTTGTTTGCCCAGCGGCACTGCTTCTGGGCCAACGATCTGGAGAGCGATCGCATCTACATCCAAGAGCACTCGGGTGAATAACCAATCCAATCAATTCTAATTGATTCATGATGGGTACAGCTTGTTGATATCCTAATAACGAGCGGCAGCAAGCAAACACATTCGTTTTCCGCTGCTCAGTATTCGATTCAAATAAACAATTCTCTGAAATCGAATACCGAGCCGCAGCAAATGAATATACGGACACGGGTAAATCCGTATAGGGATTCTCAATAGGATCTGTCCACGCGCGAATACAGCACGCACACGGCGTTACCTTACATTGGGAAACGATTTCGGCCATCGGCGGCGAAAGGCGTTCAATCCGCCCGTGCGGTGCCGCGACAGGCAGGCTGCCCTTCCAGTCTTCGGACGACGACATTTCGCTGGAGGGCTACGCGGACTCCGGCTGCGACGAGGCGCAGGGCGGTGGCTCGCTGCTGCGCCGCCTGGTGCGCAAGTGGCGCTGCTCCCCCTTGAGGACGAGGACCTTTCAGCTCATGACGGACCCCAGCTCCAGCCCGGCCGCCTGGGCAGTGTCCGTAGTTATCCTCATGTTCATCATCGTCTCGTCCGTCACATTCTGCCTGGAGACCATACCGGACCTGGCCACGGCCAGCCGGAGGAACGTGTTCAGGTTGGAGCCGTGGCAGCGGCCTATCCATTGTGTGCAGGTGGTCGCTGTTTTCGTGTGCAGTCCTGTGCAGTATGGCGAAGGCAAACAACACCTAGAATTGCAGTATGCATTGTATGTCAACACGGTAGAAGGAGACGCAAGTAGTGAGGAAAACTAAGAGAGTGGAAATGTAACGAGATGGGGAGAATTTATGGTGCTTTTCACGCTGGCGGAGCCCTCCGCTGGTGGCAGAGTTTTGCATACGCTGTGCAAGTTCCCGCCAGCAGGGCGTATTTGTGAGCAGAATTTGATATTCAATGCTCGAGAAAGGCAACTGCTCTCATGGTGACAGAAAAGGACAAGAATAGCCATTTGCCATTTCTCGTGAGCACAGTCCATGGCCACAGTGCGAGCTGACCTTGGGTGCCGCTACCCTTGCGAATGCTGCTCAGGGCGATAGAGATTTCTAGCGTGACTCTGTTCACCGTGGAATATGGCATTAAACTCGCGACGGCGGATCGAACCATGGAGTTTTTCTGGAATATTTTCAACCTTGTGGACCTGGCGGCCATCCTGCCCTTCTACGTAGAGGTCGCGCTGGATTTTTCAGGTGCCTGGCGCACGCAGGCCTTTGACACCGCCACCAGTGACCACCAATGACGTTTCAGGGAGATGTTTGGAGCATATTCAAGGGTTTTGTGCATGAGCGACAGATGCATGCATCCATTTGCACAGTTTTATGCGCACAAGACTTTTTGCGCTTGCATTACCTCATTTCATAGAGTCTGTAGGCATTTTCGTATTTGATAAATGTTCAGTCGAGGCATTCTGTCTCCTCGCTTCGTGTTATTTATTGCTTTTTCTAATTGCAAATATACAAAATCCCATTCTGTTTCACCTATTTACGTACCTAATCATTCTACTCGTATAGAGGCTTAGTTCCTAATCCAGCGCTCTACATAACATTGAATTTGACCGCATAATTAGCAGTCACCATTACTTTGCATGAATCTTGCATTCACACAATGCTCGCAAAATATGGTACTTTGCGCCACCGCACTTTCCTTTTTGTTCTCAGTGTGCTTTCATTGCCACAGGGGTTCTGGGGCAAACTCGCATCCTGAGAGTCACACGACTTGTGCGCGTATTCAGAGTGCTGAAGTTGGGGTCAAAGATCAACCGAATGCAGGTGCGCGTGCTCAACCGCACCATGTGACTTGATCAAGCAGTTGCCTAGACAAATAGGCGGAGCCCAAATGTGCGTTCACGCTCTCGAGACTGGCATGGCGCAATAATGGGAAGCCTTGAGTGGTGGCTCATCAAAGTGTATGGTGGTTTATGGTAGCGAAAGTTTTGGCCGCCGCAGCAACCTGCGCACCGCAATATTGCTATTTCCGAGGTTCTAGGTGAGAGGAGTTTTGAATTAGGCACTAAATGTATGCCACTGCAAGAAAATGCACTAGAAAATTCAACTGTGCGCAAGTAGGCTATTGAATTACCAGAAAATTGTGAATATTTTTCCGATTTCTGCAACCCCAAAGCGTGAGTACAACACAGAACAATGGCCACAATACATTTAATCTCAATGGGAACTTCGTGCATTTGGCACAGTGTAATGTAGGGATCGAGAGCAGGATTTTTGAAATCGTCTTTTTGGCAACGAGACGCGCCCTCAAGATTCTCTTCTATCCCAGGAACTCTTGAAAGAAATGTAGATTTCGGTTCCAATTGCCGTGGCGGCTCTCCAGCGCACTTTCAGGCAAAGCGGATACCATACCTTGCACTCTTTACAGTGTGATCTGTCTTAGCACTTTGCGCACACTAGTTCAGCTTTGCACATTCGGCTTATGGCAAACCTGATTTTATCATCAGCATTACAAGATTCAGATTAAGCAAAAGCATCGGATATGAGGCTATGTTGCCAGTTTCCTGCTATCCGTGAGTTGGACATTACCTCGTTATAAAATTGAGAAATTCCGAACTTTATATTGATAGGAGCGAAAGATAGCATAACGGTTTTGGATAGAGTGAAGCAAATCATGCCAACAACAACTGCGCTGTACATTAGCTCTATCTGGACAACGAATTCACCGTCTGGTATTCCAATTTCATGCCTCCGGCAATTGGATCGACAGGCTTGGGGTCTCAAAACTCTCACACACTTCTTACACAGCTGATATCTCCTGTATTCTGCACACGAAAGGCAACATCGAGTTGGATTTTGATGATATCAATAGGTTAAACTTGCTTCCGAAACGTCCAACATGAGCCACCATCGTTCTGCCGCACCGCAGGTTGTGTTCCAGGCAGTGTTGGAGAGCATGGACATCCTGGGCATGCTGCTGTTCCTCCTGCTGCTCACGCTCGTCTTCTTCTCCTCCCTCATGTACTTCGCAGAGAAGGTTCGCAGTCGAAGAGCAGGAGATATCTCCCTCGAATACTGGTGGGAGTTGCGATTCCGCCTTATCCGTCCAGAGAATAGAGTTCTTGTGTAACTGCGAACACAAGATGCTTGAATGTTTCAATGTATATCAATGTCTTCTGGTAATTACATACTACTCTATTTGTGTGCATAAAGAATCCAATGCTGCAGAAATCAAATGAGACAATGCGTGCTCTGTGCAGAAGTGGGAGGGTGGAACTCAAACATGTGTGCATAAATGAACATGTCGCCGTACTTTCTTTTCTGCGCTTTCGTACATATTGTTCAATGGCTGCCACCAAGAACGGTTTGAGCATCCCATATGATATAATAGTTATCAATAAGGCAGACTTTCTGTAATTCCAATGCAGCCTTTGTCTGGAATAAAACTCCATGCAAGGGCAACACGTCCTAGGCGCTGTGGTTAACTGCATAAAACATGAGCAAACGTTGTTGCACAGCCAGTACACGACTTGGGGAAAATATACATCATTAATGTTGAATTACTATTTTGCAGTAAAATCAGCGCGTTTTTCCCTACTCTTGCGCAAAACCATGCAAAATACGTAAATACAGGCTGTGGTTGCACCGTAACAACAAGTCAGCATTCAACGGCGGAAACAAATTGCGTGAAGATCCCAAGTTCCTCGAGCGCGTCGCAAACCCGACGGCCTGTGTTCAGAACGTGGACGGCACGACCTTCACCAGCATCCCCGCCAGCCTGTGGTGGTGCATCGTCACGCTCATGACGGTGGGCTACGGCGACGAAGTGCCCTCCACGTCCCTGGGCAAGACCGTCGCGTGCCTCACCATGATCTCCAGCGTGGTTGTCACGGCCCTGCCCATCTCTGTGATCGCCGCTAACTTCAACCAGCAGTGGCACGAGTACAACGAGCGCATACGCGTCTCGGAGAGGACTAACGGCGTCTGGGCCAAGTTTAGGCAGCTCACGGGAGAGATGAAGAGCTACAACGCGGTGGGGGTGGGGGGCGCCCGGCACGCTGAATGGATGCGCATTATTGCAACAATGAGCACGGTAATGTATAACAGTAAATATAAAAATAAGTGCAACAGCAGGTATAGTATGTATGACAACAGGTATGTTAATGCGTTTGGTAAGTGTGACGAGAGTCACGCTCGGGCACACGGTAGCTCCAGAGCTCGGGAGGCAAGCCGCAACAGGAAGGGTTACTTGATGAGTGTACGGGCCAAGTTGTACCGGCTACCGATTCTGGTTCCCCAATTGCCTCCAAGCGTATTTCACCGTAGGTTGAGGTCGTGTTCACCGCACATATTTTTTGGCCATAAAAGCGTCGTGTGGCACACAATCACTTCATGACTTCATGTTTGTCCTCACAATGAGCATTTGTGGCAAGGGTGAGCGACGGCACTGTTTTCCGTGTTTCCAGTGAGGTACAACTTGCAAGGTTTCCGGCGAAGTGGGGGCTAATAAATTGTCCAAATGCTGTTGGTTGCCATAAATAGTAGCTTGTTTGCGTATAATATATATTATAACATATTGTAGGTATAGTGTTGCTAAGGCTTGGAATCTCGCGAAACACTTGGAGAAAGCTTCACACGCACTTAGGCAGAGTAAAGGACAGAGACACTGATGATTTGAAACATATCTTACGGCAGATTCACTAGGAGAAAAAGGGACAAATAACACGTGCTCAAATGTGTACAGATTTTACGGGTTTGGGTTATTTTTGTGTTCTTAACGTGCAGAACTTTAATGAATTGTATTTTGTGTGTGCTCGCAAAAGTGATAATTGGTCTTTTTCTTGCTAGTGATTCGAATGGCCGAGGCGGCACAGCAGTCGCACGAATGAAGGCGGGATTTCCGGTTGGGACCGCGCAATTTGTGTGTATGTCCTTTCTGGAATTTCATGCAGAGCAATTGGGACGCACGCGCCGATGTCTGTGGCGTTTTCTCAATTGATCGACCCTAATTATTTGATTGTTTCTTCTGCATCCTACGCGGAGCAATCGTCATGTCGCTGCTCCATGGCGCCTTCCCGCTCACGCACAATTGCTCAATTTCGCCCTTTGTAGTGGGAAGCACATTGAGGCTGCACCTTCCTTGCTGAAACTGCAAGAGCTTCAACAGATTGCACCCTGGCTATTGGGATGCAGTGGCGACTGTGTAGGCTAGCACTCCAGGCTGTAGCGTACATTGAATTTAATACTGCCAAGTACTAAAGCAATTTATGTACTACCGTTGGTTTGCTATACATGGTTAATGTTGTAGCACTAAGTACGCCGCTGCTGCGATTTCCAGATGATGGACGACTTCATAAATGTGGTCAGAAGTTCCGAGGCCGGGATGCACACAGAGTTCGCTGCCATTAGGCAGGAAGCTCTGAAGGCGCGGTGTATGTATTTGGACCAAGCGAGGGGGAGTCAAGCCAAGCCTCTAAATGAGCAGATCGCGGAGACCAAGTCCATAATCGCAAGGTAGCTCTCAGAGACCGCAGTCAAGTCGAACGCCGCACGGTGCCGAGTTTGCCTCCAACTGTGTCCGGCTGTTGACGATACGAATTAACGTTCCTAATGCAATTGTGTCCATCCAAAAAACTTCCAGCTCCTAAGGACGTGGAAAATTTTCAGGCAAATGGCAAACACAGTGATATGGCTAGTGAGACAGCGATTGGCTATGCCGCTGGCAGGGCACACTGAAATGTACATTTGCAGCAAATGAAAACGGAAATCGTGCATATTGACCCCCTGAACATGTAGATATTTACTAATGGCTGTCTTCAGAAATAGGTTAAATGAAACTTTGCATCGATCCTGCACGTAGGCCCTTTCCTGACAGGAAGCAGTTCTGTTGGGAGCACTTTACTGAATAGTGTGCCTTGGCTTTCGTGCGCTTGCAAGAAGCTGCTTCAGGGGCTGTTTCGTCACCCCAAAATTTCCTTTCTAGAAGTTCCAAAGTTTCCACTTCTGTGCATGATGTGTGCCATGCACAATAGCGGGCCCTTAACTCCAAATTTGAAGCTATGCTACCCTCGCCGCAGCCTCAATTCTTACGTCCTTAATCGATGCCGGATCTTAAGCCTGCGCAAGGCCCGACAATGCAATCTGATACCGTGATGCAGCCTGCCGACACAGTTGGGGAAGTGTTGCAGCCCAATCACTCCGCCTCCCAAGGCGGGCGTTGGCCCCAATCACCTGAGTCAGCTGAGCTGATGATGCCAGTTGGCAAAAGCGGTTCAGGCGGGCAACGCAGCAGAGCGGCACGCCCAGTTGCTGTGAACTTGTCTCCGGTAGGCAGTCCGGCGATCCTGGATTTGAGTTTCGCTCACTCTGTTAGAGGTTCACGGCCGCGAGCTAGCTGATCGCTTTATTTGCAACTTAACACAATTGTGGGCTGATGCGTATCAACAACAGAGGAGCATCGCGCTCGTCCACAGCCAATCGTTGAGACCGCTTCTGTCACTATGAAATGAAGGACCAAATAACTCGTGTCCAAACGTGTACAAATTTTACGGGTTTGGGGTTATTTCCGTGTTTATGGCATGCAGAAAACTTATGAAATGCATATATATGTGCTTACAAAAAGTGTCATTTGGTCCTTCTGTCTGCTAGTGTGTGGTGTGCGACTGAACCGATCGGAAACACGTCAACACACTTGCGGGCCTCAATAACCATGTTGACCACCAGTTGCTGTTCTTTCGCCAAATCGGCGTTGGCGAATTGATAGCTCGATTGACGGTGGCAGGCTATGGGACAGCCTCAGACACTGTGAATCAAAATATCTGCGTGGCTTCTCTGGCCAGGGGAGCTCCACAAATATCCTGATCGACAGTATCCAAGGTTGTCCTATGCCATGGTTGAAAGCTCTGTGGAGATTTTCAGAAAACAGAAGGGGCGTTTCGGGCATCTTCTCAGCCCCTGCGTCGGTTTTGAGGCAAGTGCGTAATTTGTTAGCACCACAGGTCTGCGTCCACCCCGCCCCTTTAATCCGCCGACTTGACGAAATGCGTGACCAAATCAGCGCGGTGTCTCCCTTAACCGTATCATCATCGTCAAAATCCATGGATTACATTTGTCACAAAATGACAAAACACAGCCCGTGCACCTGGCAGGCGATGATGGAAAACCAAGCAGATAGTGTGTTCGGAATCGATTATTCACGGCCCCATATCGCCACTCCCTATTGTCCCATGAAATGCAGTGAGCTTGTATGAGTAATGATTAACCGTATCACGCTTTGACAGCCATCCTAGCAGGGTAAGTTTCCTGGCTGTGTGGTGTCCGCTGCGCAGCATGCGCGAGGGCATGGATCGAGCGAAGGCCACGTGGCATGATCTCAAGTTGGTGCTGGAGCTCGTGAATTCGGCGAGGCCTGCAGAGATCATGTCCAAGCTGGAGGGCGCCAACGCGGCCTACAAGAAACTGCGCAAGTGGGCCGAGGAGGCGCGCCACATGGTGAGCGAAATCGAGCACGTGAGGCAGGACTTGAGGGGTTTTAAGAACAGGAGCAGCCACAAGGGGGGCTCGCAGTATTGAGGAGGGACAGCGGCAGCGATGGGCACCGGCCCAGCCCGTCCTTTTGTTTGCGCAATTCTGGCAGGTGCGAGGGGCACCACTCGCGACTCTTTTGTTCGAAAATGGTGTCAAAGGGCTTGTGCGATTTGTGTCCGGCGTTGCTTAGAGCCAAATGTCCCCAAGTTCTAGGAAAAAAGCTGCATATCCTGGCTATGGAATAAGGCATGGAGGGCCCCATATGTATACGTACATGGGATATCGAATATGATAACCTGGGATATAGCGAGGATATGGCTAAGGATATGGCCATATCCCAGGATATGGGCTACCATATCCTAGGATGGAGACGCTCCATATCCAGGATACGGGCGCCCATTACCTGCGATATGGCGAGGATGTGTACGAGGATATCGGCTCCCATATCCTGGAGTATGGCCTCAACAAACTTTCATTCAGAATGCCTACAAGGGCAAAAGCTGCGCATTGTGCTCAAAACCACGTTTTGATTACAAATGTTCAAAAACAATTGTGCGGGGGAAGGTTTTTCCCGAGGCACAAAAATTGTGCTAAACATGGCCATGTGTGCGAGAATAAATGCGCGCGCGGCGTGAACATTTATACTTGCCCTCTGCTAGTGACAACCATTGTCCATTGTCACCGTTCCGCCTCGTTTCCACCAAAGGAAACCCATGCGCTGTGGCTGATTTCGCACCAGCTCCTCGTCCTATGAATGCGCGCGCGGCGTGCGCATTCATCCTTGCCATCTTCTAATGAAAACCACCGCCCACTGCCACTGCTCCGCCACGCTTGGACCAAAGAAAACCCATGAGGTTGGGTGATTTTCCACCAGCGCCTCGTCCAGCGAATGTGCGCACCACGCGTGCATTCATTGGACAAAGGGTTTCCCTTTGCGCGCAACAACTCGGTTGTGCAATTCCACCAGACTGCCCGAAACACCCCTTTGTGCGCAAATAGTGCGGAATCATTCAAATCGGATGTTTTTCTTGTGCGCAAAGTCACAAATCTGTTACTTTCTGCTACCACCTTATAGGCATTTTGCATGAAAGGGTGTTGCTCCTATATCCTGGGATACGCCCGTATCCTGGGATACCGGCATATCCTGGGTATGCGCATCTAGGATATGCAACTTTTTTCCGACGGTGGTGTCTGTGCGACTGCTCATCGCGGTTGCACTGGTGCACCAACAATGCACCACGCGTCAGAGCGGTGCTATATTGTGCGATCGTGGCGGTCTTGCCGGGGCGTCTTTTCACGAGAGCGGAACGCCAGAATCGACGCGGTGATTGTGGCAGTTTGAGTACGGTTCCAATATGACGTGACCATAATTCCAACATGACTAGACCACGTGGTCTTCCGCACCGATGCGGGATGGTGGTTTGAGCGTCATCGGTAAGTTGGACGATCCGGCGTGTTGGTCAATCAATGCCTGCAGAATTGTATGGCACGGCTCCCAGGGCGAAACCTAACTGTATCTACAAGTGCTGTACATGCAGCAGTTGAGAGCGGTACGATAGCATCAGTATATAGTGCTGCACACGAGCTGCCTGCATGCCGACTGCCTTCCATGCACAAAGCCAGACAGGCGCGGCTTGCGATTCTCAGGGTTAACCAAATCTGCAGAGGTCACGATACGGCGTCTCGAAGCTTGGTGGCCCTCCCGTAAGCATGCCCAAACGCAAAGGCCACCCAGAATACCTACATTATTCATAATATATTCAACATACCTTCGATATTCAATATACGATATTATTCAACCCAACGCAGTACTATAAGATGGAAGCTTCTCAAAGGGGATCCGCCATTGTGCATGCGAACAGCGCCCATCGGAGTCCCAACAAACCGTCTGGCTGAGAACAAGGGACATGCTCCCCGACAAGCAGCCGCGTCGTCCAAAGTGGCAGCCCAAACGTGTATTTGGACAGAAGATGTACTGCGAGATGTTCGGCACAGCTGCTTGTCCTTTGCGGCTACCCATACCCACCCCGGCAGTCACGCTCAGTGCTCATTAGGGTACGCAGCCCCCGCCACCCTAATCTGCGACTGGTGACAATAGCTAACGGGACTTACAGCAGAGGGCGCCCGGCCTCGAGGACGCAATATTCCCCCAGATGTGAGGTTACGGATGCGTTCAGATGTGAGTAGGAGCGAGCCTCTTCTGGTCGCTGACAGGACCGTCGTTGGTATCTTTGCGGAAGCTGTGTGTGCTAACTGTAATACGGGATCGTGAGCGCCGCCCGGCGTGTGCATTCCACTAATAATTACAGCGAAGTCATGCCTTCGAGATAGAGAGACAGCGAGCCCCAGCATCCCCGGTTCAATATGATGCGCCCTCCACGCCGGAAACAAGCCAATGTGGTCAGTGAGCATGCCACGTGCCGCAAAAGCAGGCGCAAATGTCGGCAACTCGCAGCCTTGCCCCATCTCCATAATGTACAGTTGCGTCAATAAACAATAGCCGAAATAAATATCCAGCACGGTGCGGCGGCCGCTTCCCCTTGCCTGCACCGCCTTGTACCTCCCCAATCATCAACTGGCGAAAAGACGAGTACAGCCCACGCACAATCTGAACGTCCCCAGACCAAGGCGTAATTATTGCAACTGCTGCCAGTGGCAACAGTCATCTGCGCAATACCCGGAGCTCTGCATTGCATCCTCACGCCCGCAGCGTCCAGGTTCTCTGTATGTTCTGCAGAGTTCAATTCTACAGCCTCCCAACTACCACATCATCTTGGTGGTGCGATATGATGCTAGCACGGCAACTGCGAACAAGCCCACCGCCACACCAGTGTGGACCGCACTCCACCGCAGCTCACTGTTTATGTGTGCATCCTGGCACTGGCGTACCTGACACAGCAAGGCGGTTGAAAACTGCTTAGATTCTGTCAAGACATCGCCTGGAAGTGGTGGAGCGGGTGGCTAAGAAACGTCAAGAAATGCTCATAGGCGACTTGTACTCGTGCCGTGGATTACAGCTGCCTTCACAGAGCAAGGCAACGCTTTTGCGTCTCAGAGGCGATCGTGGGGCTATACACATGGAGAGGAGAATCAGCTTGTGCAACAGGAAGGCAACAGCTCCCAAGGTGGAAAAGCATTCTCCTGGAGCTCCTGGCTGACCGATTACGACTTTCCCAATTGTGCATGGACTGTGAAGCTGTCGTGGAGTTGGCGAGTCAGCATAACATTGCGTCCAACGTCATGGAATTTCCGCCACAGGGGAAGGGACTTATGCCGCACGCACATGCAGCTCAGCATCCTGCGCCCTGATGTTGCCTCAAACACCAGCTGGGAGGCTCTAAGAGGGACAGGCTGGTGACCAAATCACGCCCCAACATGGCAACGTCCATGGGCACAGAATGGCAGCAACAGGAGCACAATGCTCCTGGAGAGCAGCTTATGGAAGGGTGTGTTCAGACGTTCACAAACCCATGTAACCTGCTGCAAATGTCCAACAAGGAGACGGTGCTGGTTGATAAGAAATGTAAAAATATGCAAATATGCAATGCTTCCCAGCACTTGCATCAAATACTGACTAGCACTGACAGACCATCGTTTCCAGGACAGAGTGATTTCGTGGCTCACAAAGAAGTCGATGGGTTGGACGTGCTCATGCACAGCATTATTTGCTTGCTACGCTAACAGTTTGAATGTGATATGTGTGACTGCCATGCGTGGTAGAGACCCTGAGTTCGTCTTCAACCACATGAGCGTTGCAGTCAACTGAAAGCACATTTTTGCTTTGGGCGAGTGTATGGCCTCTGGAAGAAACCCATGGTCACTCGCCTCACAATGCGGCAGGTCCCAGCATGTGTTCCACTCTCACCTTCCACAGCTTCAGGGAGACGTCTGCTCTGGCCGGCCTTGTATATCCATTTGTGAGGGGTTTGCTGTCTTGGCCAACTAAAGTGTCCAGGTCTCGATAATCAGGCAAAGCTGCACGCACTGGGCGCCCATCCCGTATCACGATCTGTGCCAGAGTCAGCAGTTGAGCCTCAATACTGCAGAACATGGCAGATGCCTCGCCAACAGCAACCACAACATTGAAGGGAGTCGCAATGGCGCTTTAAGAAGCATCCATCCATGGCCTCCAGCAATCAACAGCATCGTCAGCTTGCACTGTGGAATATTCAACAGTCCATACACGCGAGGACAGCAGCATTCCTTTTCCTATTGCTAGTGTGTGTGGATTCTAACACATGCCCAGATACTGCTGGCTGGTTGTGAGGAACAGTGGCCCCATGGTGAGCTCTCACGCATAGGGATTACGTGCTGTCTTTGCATGTGCCCATGACATGACATTCCGTTGTCGGATTCGCTACGAAACACAACAGCACACACCCAGATTGGCAACGAAAGCGCCCACGTCGATGTTAGGAACAGATCACGTCATCGCAGAAAAGAAAGAGCAGCTGTGCTGCATCAATGCGTGCCGTAATGCGGTGAGGGCTTAGCCTGTTCCAAAGAAGGAACCCCACCAGCGTGCATGAAGACCAAGAAAGCATACAATCACAGATGCCAAGGGACACGCAAGTGAACTTGCTGCCAGCAAAAGTATGCATGACCCCTTGCACATTAATTTGTGCAAAACGGTGGCTTCCACTGGTAAACTAAAAACCTAAGCACAAAATTCCTTTCAATCTTCCCATTCCTTCCTTTCCTTTTTGCTGTTTTGCTCCTTTCAATACCTTTCACTTCAAGCGTTTCATTGCAATTCCTTTCCATTCATTTTAACCTGTGTCCTTCATGCACAAAGGCTATGGACACACATCAGCGATGACATGAAATGTGTGCATGCAAAGTAGGCACAAACCATGACAACTGAAACTAAATCAAACAAGTTGTGAGCTTCAGTGCATTGTGCAGACACACTGTCCAAGTTGTTCAAGGGCATAATGTTCACAGACAACGAAAATGCCCAAAGTCTTGCCGTGCCCTTGTATACATGAGAGCAGTGTTTTGCTGATGGGACACATGCAATCAAAGCAGCATTCCACAGATGCAAGGAAAATTGTGACAATTTTGCACCATTTTGTTACAACTGGCACATGAATGGCAATCCAATGAGCAGTCAACTTGTTCCATTCACTTGCCAGCCAGATCCATGGATTACCCGATCATGTTGTCCCCTTGACAGCAGTTCGCTGAACCTCCTGGCTCTGAACAGCACCAAGTTTGCAGGCCTGCCCACGGCAATCCGGCCATGGTCCTTCAGACCCATTGCAGCTGCTGGCACTGAGGTGATGCTGCAGGGCCAATCCCCCATGCTGGGTCTGTCTAGGTGTCCCATTCTGACACTCTGCAGCAATGGCAGTTGACAAAAACTGCTTGGATTCAACATGGTGCACTTTACAATTCGTGAAAAGATAGCTGAAACTTGGTCATCAATCATGCATTAAACTGATCGATCAATCAATCAGTGTACCAAGCAAGTCTACAGATTGTTCATGCCCATCATCGACTTAAAAATGCAGATTTCGACCACCATCTATATGTGCTGCACATGAAGGGTGGATGGACAACATTTAAAAAAAAGGCAGCCCAACGTCTGGGATGCGCACATGCACATCATCGCCTGCAAGGCACAAGCAGTCCGCTTTCTCTTTTGTGGGCACTTAAACAAGGAACACGGCCTTGAAACTGCAAGGGCAGTGCTGTGTCGCTTGATGGATATTGAATCAATGGCTGGCCAGAGAGAAAAATTAGTTTTTCGTCTATGCAAGCAAACATAAAGTGCTTGTGAAGTTCAGCCGTTCTGTCAACCACACAGCCCACACCTGTGTGAAAACCTCCATCATATCCAAGTCCCCGTATTCATAAAATTGGTCCCTTGCATTATCGCTGGACAATGCCGTGGACACCCCTGCAGCCATGAGCTCCTTCAGTGTGGTTATCCCTCTCCACCGTGGTGTCCGACAGTGCTCTGGTGGGCTCCTGTCCTGTGTCCATTCGTTCACCAGGGGTAGTGAAACCACCGTGATTTGCGCATCGTGTGCCGCCTGGAGGGTCTTCTTCAGTTCCTCTGGTGGCTGATAGGCAAGTGAACTGCAACAAAGCGATAAGCCACAGTGGGCCACAGCTGGCTTGTGGAAGGATACCAGGGATTGAAAATTGTAGAAGTAAAAAAGTCCGCGCAAGGAAAAAATTTTGCGTAGTTTGCACGGAAAAAGTTTGCAAGGGAAGAAGTTCGCGCACTCGTTGGTGCACGCCCTTTCGGTGTCCGGCCAATCTGTCTAAGGACAACTTGTCTAACAAGTGATCCTTGCTGAATGCGGCCACGGGTTGGTTGTGTACCAATCACACAAACTTCTCTGTTACATATACCACTCGTTCCCAAACCCGCTGCATGTCCAGGTGCCCTATGGTGAAGTCAATTGCAATGTTGACTCTGTCTTTGCATTAGAAGGGTTGTCTTTAGACGAGTTGAGCCAATTCGTCTAAGCAACGCCCATCAATTGAATTTAACCTTCAATTACATTTCATTTCGTTTGTGGCGGGCTACATTGGTAACTGGTTCTTGGGCGTGTTCCTGGCACCCGCACAGGGGGCGGGACAGCACAGGAGGGTGAGCGCCGGTCCAGGCATGTGGCTGGCTGGTGTGGCGCGGTTTGGCGCAGCGTGGCATTGCGTGGGGCATCGATTGGCAGCTATGGAAAGCACAGATTCTACAGGGCGCGGAGGTGGATCGACGAGAGAGGCAGGCAAATGGCAACGACATATAGCATACCATTTCTATACACCAGCTTGAGGTGGAATGCGGATATGAGGGTTCTGGCTTCTGGGTTTAGGGGAATACAGTGAAAGGGTGAGGGCATTGCAGCCACCGGCTTGAATTGGAATGCGGATATGAAGAAGTTGATTTTCGGGATTTTGGGGAATGTGGTGAACAGGTGAGGGCCCTTGGGCCACCGGCTGGAGCAGGAATGTGGATATGAGTAAGTTGGTTTTGGGTTTGGAGGAATGCGCTAAATAAGTGAGGGCCCTCGGGCCACCGGCTGGAGCAGGAATGTGGATATGAGTAAGTTGGTTTGGGATCAACAGGTGAGGGCCCTTGTGCCACCGGCTGGAGGTGAGATGCGGATATGAGCAAGTCAACTCGGGTCAACGGAATTTCAGACGAGTTGTCCATCAGACGAAGTGTTGTTAGACCACTTGTCCATGAGACGAGTTGTCCTTAGACGAAATGGCCGCCACCCAAGTGTGAAATGCACGAATTTTCTTTCCACGCAAACCTTTTTTCTTATACAGTATATCCATTACAATAATGTGATGGCCGTGGAACACATCTCCTTGGAGTTTGGATAAGCAACATCATTTCTTGAAGCGGTCTACAAGGACAATGTTGGCAAAGGACCATGTCACAAGACAACAAGAAAGCACAAACTGGGCCAAACAGCAAGCAACCCAGACACACCTCAACACACGACTGTGGAATAGCAATGTGAACCACACTTTGGGGACAAATGCTTGCGGCCATGAAGCGCGCAATGACATCCGCCCTATGCAAGCACAAATCTTTCTGTTGGGCATGTTGATGAGTCAATGGCTTGGCTGGACTTTACGTGCTCCAGGCAGAATGCAGGGAATGTCAGTTCAATTCAATTTAGCCTAACAACTGTAAAGCAGGGAGTTTATGTCTCCTGATGCATGCCTGCAAGTTGGATTTCACCACAGCAGCTGAACAGCACAACTGCCGTCTGAATCACCATATGTCAGGGGAAAACGCCCGGTCCCAGATCATGGCGATTTCCATATCATTGTCGAGGGGATGCATGGACCAAACCTTGACAAAGTTTCTGATTGGGTTGCAGAGCATGACACACTCACAATACACTTCATCCAACCAGGAGGTGCGAAAATGTGTGTCAAAATCGCATCCACCAAGAATTTGGCACACAAGGAACACAGTGTGCACTGCAAACGTCGGATTTCAGGTAGTAAATGCACAAGACATCCCGACTAACAATGGAACAGCCATGTGTTGATTCATGAAAGCAGAAATAGGTTAAAGGCATGGCAGCAGGTAGAATACCAATCTGCTGTACAGAACTCACCAGCAGTGCCCACAGACCACTCTCCCTTGATATCCATGCTCGATGGTCTTCTGAGCCACATACCTCAGGCCCTTTGCACCCTCATTCCCATTCTCATCCACATGGAAGTCAAGGTCAAGGTTGCGTTCTGACGCTAGGGTGAAGATCCTGATGTGGAAGTGCACGTTCTAGGGTCAATGCAAGCAATGACAGGACAAGCTGCCTGGAAATGCAGCTAGAACTGTCCACCAGGACTTTCGCCTTTCAATTCTGAAGCAACTTGGCCTGGTGCTGTTTACCCTGTCCATCGACAAGGAAATTTCCTGTTGCAAAGAGGGCTGCTTTGCAAAAACAGTCTGACTTCGCCAGACATGTTGCAGAAGGAAGCCCCAAGATAAAAGAAGGAATACATGCAATAAGGTCCCTGTCGCCAATCACCAAGTGCAATGGCACACCAATAATACCAAATATTGCAATGAACATCAATCATCAATAGACAGCACAGGAGCCCGCACAAGACATTTCAGATGTGCAACGACAATACCAGCAAAATATTCTCCAGAGAATTGCCACGTCTGGCAGATGAGACTGTCCAGAAAAATGGCAAAAAAAGCCAGATCACAAACGGCAAGTTTCCATCAGACCACCCGGATACTCGATCACAATTTGCCAGGACCCCTTCTATCCACCCCAAAGACCATCTTGCCTGTCAAGCAACATGTCCCTGTCGCTGTTGCATGTTGTATAGTCATCCTTTTCGCTGCCCCCCAGCTCCCCACAGCAAACAGCAGCACCGAGAACACCCCCTTCCCGCTGCACCAAGTCTGCCAGTGCAGTAGCCTGCTCCAAGTCCCGGAAGAAACTTAAGAGGGACAGACTCACTCCCTGCAGTTCAACCTGTACAACAACCTCAACTCAGGAACAATGCACTGCTTCCTCACGTTGTTCCAGCCGATCAAACCAACAACCCAGCATCCTATCCCTGCAGAGCGTTATACAGGGCAGCCACGGGATGTCTTAGCAGCAATAATGGCAAGCTGCAAAGATGTTGCAAGTTGTTGCAACATCTACACACCAGCATGGAATGGTTGCAGACTGCTTTTTGAAAGTACGAGTGTCAACCCCAAGTAACAAACCGACTCCCCAAGCCATGTGCACAAGGGAGTTCTGTGATAATTTGAACAGCACTAAAGTCAAAAGAATGGGGCCGATTGAAGCCTACAAGACGGCGATATTGGTACGGTCCTCTTCCTGCTGCCACCGATGATGGCAACCACACAGACACCTCTAGATCGACGGGGATCTGAGCCACAGAACCGCTGGCGTCATTTCATACCCTGGATGCCCATTTCTTCTTGAGTCTTGCAAACGCGGCCCAGGTGAGGTCGATTTGCTTTGGAGTCAAGTTTATGAGGTGGGTCCGCAGTGCAGAAGTACCATGGGCGTAGGCACACCTCAAACTGAACTCCATTCGCCTGGCATCACAAACAAGGGAACAATGAGCAACAGCATCTGTATGGTGAACGGTCTCCCTTCCCCTCCTGCCACAGGCAGCGGTGCTTGCTGCTGCATCTGAAAATTTGACTGGACACTGCCAGTGTGCAACGACTTTCGCAACAGCTTGCATAGCATGCAGCAGTGCCCCACAAACATTCTTCCCCAGGAGAGGGTGTCTGGTGCAAGACAATCTTCCGTGTCTGTGACAGAGATTGCTTCAGCCCCTGGCACCCCACAAGCCCCTTCTGGCATTCCAACATAGCGTGATCACAAGGCTCCGCTCCCTTCGGACGTCTACCTGCACACATCGTCCATGTCCCACAACTTGCTGTCCCGCTCCGTGCTCTTGTCCGCCCCACTGAGCGTCCCCGCGGGGTTCCTGGTCCTCTCGCAGGTGTGGCTCTTGTCTGCAGCACGATGGGGACGCCCAAGCTCAGCCATTCCCTCAGCGCTGGCAAGACACCCCGCGGCAATCGAGCAGAACACCAATCATTGGCCCCAACGACGCCAATGACAATCCCCCCTCCCCCCGTTTTTTCCTCACCATTTCCTACCACCACATCATCGCACTGGAAAGCGTTCATCAAACGCATTCCGCTCAAGAGAGCGGCGGTCACTGCGCGAAATCCTTTCTCCCTCGCGGCAGAGAACCTTCCATACCGCCAGCCACAGCGCCCAGCCGCGTCCAACGACAGCGCCGGACTCCACCATAAATGGCGCGAAGATTCCACACACACCGTCCAAGCCGCAGCTCCCGGCAGCCCAGCGAATCTCCCCCTCCTCCCCCCCCCACCCCCACCCCACCCCCACCCTCGCTCACCAATGTGCGTGTGCAGGTCCGCCATCGTCGGCCAGCACATGCCCCCCTCCAGCGACACCACGGGCACGCCTCGCGCCCTGGCCTCCCGGCCCGCTCCCGCCGGCACCACGCTGGCGATCAAACCCCCGCGTATCTCCACGTCCACGACGCTCAGGCCGTTGTGATCGGCTTCCAGGCGCTCGGCCCCCACCACGCAGCACCTGGGCACCGTGGCGTCCACCAGCCAGTACCCACCCTCGCCCAAATGCGCATCCATGCCCGCCCACGCCGCCGCGTCGCGGCGCCCGATGACCAAAACGCTCCCGCCCCTCCCCGCCGCTGGAGGCGGAGCTGGCTGGATCCGATCGCCCGATGCGCCTCGTGCTGCAGCGCGATCGGTACCCAAGGCGCACGGCCGGCGTTGATCCGAAGCGCGCGGGTGGACAAGCCGCGGCGGGCGGGCGTTTCGAGCGGGTCGGCCCTCGCGGCCGGGGGTGGTGGTGGGGGGCGCCGGGGCCCGCGCGGCAACGCCCGCCGCGACGCCGGGGGGGCCACAAAAGAATGAGTAGGGCGGTCGTGTCCTGGGGAGCAATGGAGTGGGGGCGCCACGGGGCCAATGGGCGAGATGTGCATGGGGGGGCACCAGCTTCAGCCCGGCTTCGTGGCTGCCGTACTGTACTGCAGTGTTCAGCTCGCCTTGGGCCAGCTTGTTCGTCGGGGACCAAGGGTTGATGCATGGGCGCATGGTGCACTCGGCCGTGCGAGGCGAATGGCACACAGTGCAGCTCTTCACAATTCTGTTTGGTGGCCGGGTTGGTACTTGAAGTTTGGACGCTAGATTTTGACACTCGCTGCGACGAACGGTGAGCCTTTCCTGTGCTGTCCCAGGGCTACCCCCACAGCTCCCGTATTGTGTGAGGAAAGGGGGGATTTTAGCCCTGCATGCATGTGTAATTGACATCTTGACACAGTGCGGCTGCCCGCCCGGCGCAAACGCTCTAGTCCGGGAACATGCAGCACATGTGCGCTGCCCTGTTGCCAAAGGGCAGCTTTTGCCCGTCGCATTGGCATTTATAAGACTTGTCCCTGGCGACGGGCTCCCCTCATCACATCAATGGAACAGCCAGAAGCTGAGCTGCCTGCGAAGGCTAGAAGTAATGCGCGGAGGTGCACAAGACGAAGCTACGTGCGACCAGCCCCTCACCGCTTGCTGGTGGCCAGCGCCACGCTGCACACGTGACATGCTTCCCGTTGCGACCACAGGGGAAAGTTCAGCCGTCACCCATGGGGAAGGCATGGTGATGGAGACATCCCGAGTGTTGCCCCTCGTCAAACCCCCACCCCATCCCTCGCCAATGGCTGCCCGTTCTGAGGGCCAGTTCTGTGCATAGGGCCAATACTTGGGGTCCCAGGACCGTCCCGGTGTCCGCTGCACGTCGAAAATGGGCAGAACAAACGCAGGCCGGCTGCAGATGGTGGGAATCCGCATCTGCCCAGCCCCCCTGCCCCGGCTGACGGTTCGCCGCATCAGTTCCCCAAAGGCACGGCCGAGGCCCCGGCCGGCCCTGTGCTTCCGCGGGCCCCGGACCCCGCGCCCGCCACCCTTCCCCCGCGCCGAGCCCACCGGCGCTGCGCGTCTGATGCGCGATGGCTGAGGACGCCGCGGGCGCGAGCATCCCCTGGATCAGCGAGCCCGTGCCCGGGCTGGGCGGGCCGTTCTGCGCCAACGTGCAGGCGCTGCTCGCCCGGGTGGGCAAGGAGCAACGCATACAGGGCGGCGCATGGCGCGGGAGGGCGTGGACGGTGGCCCTGTGGGGGCCGCAGGGGGGGCCGCCGCTGCACGTGTACGAGGAGCGGTTCGAGGGCAGCGAGCGCGCCAGCTGCGAGCAATGTCGCTGCAACGGTGGGTGCCCTGTGCGGCGCGTCCCTGTCGGCGCCCCTGGCGCTGTTCCTCGGGCTGGCGATGCGGGTCTGGGGGTGAGGGCGGGGTGGGCTGCGGGGCGGTGGATGTGGCCTGGGTTGTCAGCCAACCAGTAGTGGCGTTGTGGGGATGGTTTTGGAGTGGTTCGCTGGAGGGGTCGCGTGGAGGTTGTTGGAGTGGGCGGTGGCGTGACCGGAAGGGGTGGTGGCTGTCTGCGCGGCTCCGCCTGGGGATGGCGCGGCTCTCTGCCGCTGCCTGGTGGTTAGGTTGGCCGAAATGAGCGTGATGGCGCTGCTGGCGCAGTGCATTCTGGCGACGAGCGGCTTGGCCCTGCTTGGGCGCTACTCTGGGAGCGCCGCTGCGGCGCAGGAGGGGACCCGTGGCCACGGGTTGTCGATCTGGGCACGTCGCGGGTCTTGTTCCTTCGCGTTTCGTTCTTCGCGAGGGCTGGGGACGGGGGCGGCGCGTTTGGTGATGCGCCCCACAGGGCTGTTCCGCGTTCTCTGTGTTGGCTGTCGTCTTTGTTTGGGCGGCTTTTCGCCGCGTACGGCATTGCGCGGCCGCTTCGGAAGATCGGTGTGGAGGTGCCGGGGAGGGAGGCAGGGCGGGCGGACCAGGCACTGGGCGCCACGGCGGTGTCCTGCGACCTGCAGGGAAACTGCGCTGCGCGGGCGCAGGAGCGCCTAGCGGCTGGTTCCCGGGCGCGCCCGCGTCGCGTAACTGTGCCGAGGGATTTCTCGGACGCGCTGGTGCGAAAAGATCGCCGGAAGGCGGCCTCTGCGGCCGCCGCTGCGGGCCTGCGGGGGGGCATTTGGGTGCTTGCGGATGTGCCGGCCCTGAGCGCGACGCGACGGTCGTGGTGGGCGCGGTGCCCGTTCGCCCGGCCGCCGCGCCGCTGCGCGCAGCTGCCAGGGCCTCTGCCCCTCCGCCTGTCCTCGAGGGACGCCGCCCGGTCTGGACTTGACATCACCGACGACGGAAGGTCTGGGAAGGTTTGCGTGTCCGCGTCGGGACGGCGTGCGGGCGCCCACACCGCCGGCAACGCTGATTTCTCGGCGCCCTGGGCTGGGGACCGCAGCCGCCGGATTCGCCACGGACGGCACCCGGCGTCCGCCGGCCAGCCGCTTCGCCGTGAGGTTGCGCCCCCCAACCGCCCCGCCATGGCAGCGATGGCGCCCGGTCGGCCGCCCGTCGCCCGACGTCGAAATGGGCGGCGCCCCGCCGGGTCCAATCCACCTTCTGACAGCTCCCGGCCCCCCCCCGCAGGCTGGCAGCACCACCCCCTCTCCGACCACAAGTACCACTTCATCCTCCCCAGCCAGGCTCCCCGCCCGGACGCCCCGGTCCTGCCCATCGACTGGACGGGCCGCGAGCCGGGCCCCCGGCCCCGCGGGCCGGCCCCCCTGGAGTCAAAGCACCACATCCTGCACGGCGTGCTGCACCCCAACGGCTACGGCCACCTGCTGCGCATCAACGGGCTGGAGGGCGGCTCGCGCGGGCGCACCGGCCGCGAGGTGATGGCCTTCTGGGACGGCCTCTGCGGCGCGCTGCGCGTGCGCAGCGTGTCGATCGAGGACGTCTCCAACCGGCGCGGCATGCTGCTGCGCATCCTGCACGCCGCGGGCCACCGGCGGACGTGGTACGGGGAGTGGGGGTACGCGTTCGGCCGGGCGGGGTACAACATCCAGCAGGCGGACTGGCAGCGGGCGGTGGAGGAGGTGCACGGCTCGTCCCTGGCGGGGCTGCTGCAGGACTTCAGGGCGGGGGGGGTCGATGAGAGGGTGGTGAGGATCGTGGAGAGATACAAGGGCGCCGGCGGAGACGAGGTGAAGACTCTGGGCGAGTGGCTGAAGCGGCTGATGGCGTTCACCCACGACCCGGAGTGGGGCAGGCAGTTCCTGGCCAGGCACGGCGGAGGTCGGCGGGCGGGGCTGGAGCGGCAGATCGCGCTGCCCGCCCTCGCTCGGGCCTTCCCGCAAGTCAGGGCGGCGCTGGAGAGGGCCGGGGCGCAGGTGCTGGTGAACGGCGGCGCGGGCGGCGCCAGGGACGCGGCCCGCATTCGGAAGAACGTGGCCGAGTACATGAGGGGGGGAGCGCCGCCGTCGGATGCGCATGCCAACTCCGTGCGTGCTGCTGTTCAGGTCGCGGAGCTGCTGGAGCAGGGTCCGGGCCCGGACGCGCCGGGGAGCGCCGCGCTGCTTGAGAGGCTCTGCCGCGGCGGGGAGGCGACGGGCAACGGCGCGTCCAAGCGCCTGCGCAGGGTGAAGAGGGAGCCCGAGGGGGGGGCAGCGCCTGCGACCAACGGCGCCAAGGGGGAGCCCGACCTGGAGTGCCAGGAGCCCCGCTTCAACGCGCCGCATCAGAAGGGCGGAAGGATCGGCGGCCAGAGTGTGAGAGCCCCGCGCAACAAGGGGGATGCCGGTGACGTGAATGGTTCGGACCGGGGGCCCAGTGGGAAAGCGGCCGGGCAGGTGAAAAGCGATGGGCTGTGGAAGCGATTGAATGCGTGCCCTCGGAGCACGAGGTCCAGACGGATGGGATCTGGTGGGGTTGGGAAGAGTGCTTGCAAGGATGCAGTGCAGGCAGATTCGGATTGCCCTGACAGAACACGGTCTGGGGGTGGTGCAAGAGCTGGGACAAGCAAGGAGACCCAAGGCGGCGGACAGCGCAATGGGACAGCCATGGAAGGGCAGACACACGGCTATGATGCTCACCTCCTGTCTGTCCTGCAAGCCCTTGGCAAACAGGGCGCCGATGTTGCTGGCCAGGCGGCCTCCCTGCACGACACGGAGCTCTTAGCTGCAATGCAGCACATCATCAAAGAGGGGGAGGGTAAGATGGACGGAGAGGGCAAAGCAAACTCCGCAAAAGCAAGGCGTAGCGAGAGAGCAGGACGGCGGATTCGGCTGGGACAAAATGGGGCGGCGCTTGGTAGTCTGCCAACTGAGGTGACGGCATCTAACCCTGACACCCGCAAGAACCGCAGCAACGCCAGGAAGGGGGTTACAGCTCCTCCAAGAGTATCACACAAACGTAGGCAGCCCGGTGCTCCTGTGCTCGATGGAACAACTCCAACCTGCAGTCATGGGGAACACACTCAAGATAACTTGTCCAGACTGGTCGCGGTGAAAACTGAGACCACAGGTTGTTCAGTGGTTAAAAGCGCAGTGAATGGAAGGTTCAAGCAGAAACAGAAGCAGGCAGTGTCCTTCAATGGAGCATGCGATGCGCCGACTGATTTGGTGAAGCCACCTGTGAAGCCATTCGATCCTAAACTACTCCTCCAAGGGCCAAGGAACTGGTCAGCACACAAGCTTGTGGAGTTCTTGAGGATTGTGCTGAGTGTTCTGCAGGTGCGGGTTGGTGAAAGTGCCATGTGCTTGACACTTTCTGGGTCAGATCATGGATCGTTTATCAGCAACGCTTGTAATGCTTGATTCCTTTCTTTATAGTTGATTCAAAAGACAAAACAGTGCACAAGGCATGGAGTGTGGGCACCCACATTTTGAACTTGTGTGCTTGCTCCTGTCCAGACGATTGAAGGCCACTGGGTGAGGCTGCAGGAGCTCAGAGAACTTCTCTATGCCACTGCACATGACCGTGTGCTGGCGGACTGGGTCCTGGGGCGGCTTGCCAACACGACATTTGCCAATGGTTGTGTTGTGTACAAGTAAGTGCGAAGCACAGAGAAATGTGTGCTATTATCTGTCCGCTGCAACCACTGAAAGCTGCCCGTGCATTGCACCAAAGCACTCATGATCCAAACATGAAATTGGTCGAAGCATTGTGTATGGCTCTTTGCCAACCGCATTGTTGGTACAGAACATGCACCCCGGTGTTTTTGTGCATTGTCTGACTGCCAAAGTCTCCTGGCGCTGGGGCTGCACTGGTCAATGCTTTGTCGATCTGTGCCCAACGCCTGAGTCACTTCTGCTCTGCATTGCACACAGGACACACAGTGAGTGGAAAAGGAGGCACTTCTTTCTGTTTGAAACACTGAAGAACAAGAAGAGCAGGTCGAGGGCAGCCGATGCCGAACCCTCCTGCCCAATTGCCAATGGCTCCAGGCCTCCCCACGACCAAGGCCTGGCAGCATCCCGTTTTGACAAATTCCTGTCAGATGTGTTCAAGTGGCTGTGTGCCAATCCCAATGTCCAGGTGGGCAAGCCCACGGTGTCCAAGGACAGGCGCCTCTCTTCAGAGTCCATTGATCGTCAGGTGACAGATGCTGATGCAGAGGGCATGTATCGCATCACGAGGTCCAGGACAGAGGGTGCATTGACAAGGGAATTGCGGCAGCTAGAACCGGAGAAGAGCCTGCTGGAGAACTTGGCAACTGCAAGGGCACGGGAGCGGAGGAAAAGACCCGGTCCTGGGGATCATGGGTACTCACGGCCGGCGAAGAAGTCCAGGGGCTTGTCGGGCCACAAGTTGGGGCACTCCCCCAGCAACAGTTTGGTGCGGTTGGTGGCAAGGTGGGCTGTGTTGTGGAATCCTTCGAATTATGTGGGCCTGTGCTGTTACATTGCTGTAGAATTTGTGTAAAGTACTGAAGTGCTGCGCAAGCACCAAGGATGATGCAGGGACTAGTGAACTGGAGCATTAGTTTGGCTGGGTTCTAAATCATCGTGCAAACTGAGCACAGGAGTCTTGGTATGCATGTGGGATTGTTTCATGGTTTGCAGCAGGTCGTGCACTGGTGTTCTTGTCTGCTGTTCCTGTGTCAGCGTTGGCAGCTGCTTGTGAACAGTGTGCAGTTGTGCTGGGAATGAGACACAGATAAGAATTTAGTTGACTCTGCAAGCTAAGTCCTGAGCATCGTTGAAGGCGAATGCTGCACGTGTGTACTCTATGATTCACACGTTTGCAGTGCAGAACGTTTGTGTTTGTTGCGAAAGGACATATGTGTATTTATGGCAAACGGGCCATGTCAGCTTTAGTCGACCAGTATGCCCTTCAACTTTCAGGCTTTGTTGTGCACTTGCCTCATGTGCCAAGTCCTGTTGCACTACAGGATTCAGCAAGCGCTGGACATGCCAGATATCCCATGGCTGCATGGGCCCCGGACTGCTGTGGAACCCTTCCTCGATGCCCTGGAACGACGGGGCGCCATCCCTGGGGCTGAGCCTGTGTTGAACCCTTCGGTTGAGGCAAAAGGCAGACTGCCCACACTGAAGGACCAACAAATGGCAGACCTCATATATGTGTACCAAAATGTCTTAGAATCGTACATGCCACTCTATTTTCAGAACGGAAAGTTCTCTCCTGAAGGTGAGAGCTCTTTGAGCACATGTCAGTCCAGGGAACGACTTTGCCCATTGTTCGGTGGCCTTTGATGAATTAGTGCATGTACCCTTTGAGAGGTGTACGTCCACTACTTTGACAGAGTCATAAATGCCACAGTGGATGCAATAATCCAATCACCTGTTGCTGTGCTGCTTTTGTATCTTGTACCTTTGATGGCAGGAAAGAAAGGGGGTAGGTCTATAGTGTCCCTGTGCGGTGTAATTTATGGCACTGGACATCGTCTAGTAGATGCACTGTCAAGGTGTGGGCGCAATTCGACACGTTCAAGACATTTGCTGTGCATGTCCAGGTTGCCTGTTTTTTCCCCCTTGTGAAGAGCTGTGTCTGAGATGAAGTTTGTGTTTGGCATCCACTGTCTTGTCACAGCACTTCTAGTGGAGTCAGTTTTGGCATGAGCTCTTTGATTGTTTGTGTACAGCCACACTGGAGAGCGCATCAAAGCTGTGTCTGGCCAAGTTGCCTGATGCTGTCCAGATACTTGTGGACACAAAGCTGTTTGTGAAGGAGTACGAGAACGGTCCTAGATTAGTCTTGCCCAGGAAACCTGGCGAGCCCAGGCTGGTGCAGTTGATGTGTGAGGTGGACCTGGTGCCCCGGCTCCCAAGTGGCTACAAGGACAGGTGTGCATTGAAACTGTTGTAAGCCATACATTTTTCGTGAGCAACAACTATCTTGGCTGTTGTTCAGTGTGGTGATGCTCACATTACACTGAGTGTTGTTGTGACTGCTGCAGTCATACTTAGGGGTGTTCCAGACATTGAAATGTGGCTCTGGCTTTGAAACCATGCAATGTACGAATCCAGGGCTGAAGTGGCTGGAGACGACACCATAACAACTTTTTGTAATTTGCAGCAGTGGGTTGTGTTCTTTGTGTTGCCATGTTCCGGTTCATGTTGTATTCTGTGTTTTTGTGTTCTGTGTTTTGTATTTTGTATTGTGCCCTTGGCTGTGTAGTGTTTCTGCACTTCACTTACACCTGTGGGAAATGCGACAAACCACAGCTCTTCAAGCTTGGAGGCTGATTTGCAGTTCTTGTGTGAGCCCAACTATCTTGTCCCAAAAGCCTCTATCCCAACATCAGCAATGGCATGTCGTTGCAGGTTTGGCTCTGGCAAGGCTGTCAAGTTACCTTCCTTCTTCAAGCGGAAGCCTCCTGCCATGGCCGTTTACGTGCCGGAGCGGTGTGACATAGAAGAGGCCAAGCGCCGCATACAGGCTGCCTTCAAGGAGACATACCTGATGTTCAAGGACTGGTCTGTAGTGCACATCCAGGGCCTGAGATTCGGGGGTAGAAAGAGCCGGCTGATGCCTGTGGACGAGGGGGCTGTGGTAAAGGTGAAGGGCAAGGATATACACAACGAACCTGAGCTCCGACATGCAGGGGGAATCGAAGACTGGGAGGTGTCGTGCAGGTGTGCTGACTGACCATGCGGCAGTGCTGGGCCAGGCATTGGCCATGGAGATTTGGGGAAATGCTGATGAATGCATTGCAGTGTTGTGTCTGCACAACGAAATGCTCTGTGTGCACCTTCAAGACAGTGATGGGAGTGTCTGATGCACATGACATGGCCCAGCATGGGGTGATTGTCAGCCAAAACCTTGGTTAGACAATGCCTCAGCTACAAAAGTCAGGCTTTCTGTTAAATGGGAATCAGAAGAAGTCGTGGGTGTGCAGACTGCTGGTGTCAGTTTGCCAGCATGTTCTCTGCTCACTGTGTTTCCTTATCAGCACTTTGCATTACACCTGCTTGTCCAGCATTGTGAGGCATGGCAAATGCAGGTCGCATTTGCTTATTGCAGTGAAACAGCATTGTGGATGTTCTGTGTATTTGAAACTCTGAAGATCGTGTGCTCACAAGGTGTGCACAGCTGCAAGTGACGTTGAAATGCGTAGTTCTGTGGTACATCGCTGATGCAAAGTTAGTGACGTGTGGCGAGGTGGTAACATAACAGAAACAGTGAGTGCCAGTCAGAACTTGTGAGCAATAGCGATGGCTACGCAGACTTTGGAGTTTGGGTGCTGAACCGCTGTGATACCTTGAAGGTGTGGAACGGAGGACGATGATGGTGAGAGAATGGTGGCGTGCGATCGGTGTGGTGTCTGGATGCACGTCCGTTGTGCTGGTTTCCGAAGTGAGGATGAAATCCCTGAACTGTTCGAGTGCCCAGAGTGCATCACCAAGAGAAGCCACAATTCAGGAGATTCCCCCCGTCAGTAGGCGTCGAGACCGCTCAAGCTGGGAACAAAGTTGGGTGAATGAGGATTTTCTGGGGTCAGGGGCAACCAGATGTTGAGAGACTGTGGTGTGCTCGTGCAGAGTATATGGGCACTTGGGTGGCCACCTCGAGGATAGGTTTGTGGATTATTCAGCGGTGTGGACTGTTGCAGGATGTTTGCTGGCCAGGCCAGTCTGGAATGGTTGCTTTGGATGGATGTTGTTGCCAGACACAGCAGTTTGGTAGCTATTCAGGCGTGGGGAGCAGAATGTAACAGCGGCTGGAGGACCCATGAAGTACAACACGAACCCTGTAGGTCGATCAGGGTCTCGGGCTGTGGATTTTGGCTTTTGCTGTCCATGGAGTCTGCCTGCACTGGCGAAACATCCTGAGCGCCCCTTACAAAGGTGTGCTAGTCCATTCAGTATGGGATGTGCTGGCAGATACCAGCCCTGTGGCGCTGCAACCTGCCAGCCCGTTTGGGTGTTGTGCCGTGTGATGTCTGCGTCGATCAGGTGACAGCATGCCGATGGCAGTGCGCTAAGATTATGCTGTGCTCATAACCATGGCAATTTGCACTTTTGCAGGAAGTGGCTCGCTTGCTTGTGATACAGTCGTAGGTCACAGCAGAGGGCTGTTGATCATGCGCTTTTGCAAAGG